TTCCACCCAGGAATGGTAACAGTCGCTTGTAAACGCAGATCCCTTTGTATACTAAACATGACGGGCTGGTGTTTTTCCTCCCGTTGCACAACGACGGCATTTCCCCTCCCTGTATTTATTTATTTTGCACCTGTTTTTAATGATCTAAAGCCCCAAATAATGTAGGTTTTGGGGAAAGTGTTTTTGTTTTTAAACCCTGCCAAACAGCACAGCTAATTTTGACCAGCGGCTGGTGGGTGTTGTTAAAAAAAAAGGTAGCAAATACAGTAATCAAATATTTCCCTCCTTACTGCTATATAGTTACTCTTAGTCCTGGGAAGAGAAAAGTTATAGGGTTTCTCTCTCTCTCTCTTTGGCCACGGGTATCAAGGGAGTCCTGGTTTTGGACGCGACCGATGTCAAATTTGGGAGTTTCGTTTGCCGGTTGACCTCAGGCAGCAAAATCCTTGGGGTCAGCCCTGCTCCTGTGGCCTGGAAATGCCAGGACAACCCTTTGTTGTTTGAAATCATGGAAGCTGGGCTTTCATTGCTGGTGCTAAATAGGCTCGCTGTGGGTCCGATTCACTTTTAAAGCCGTGTCAACAGTCCTTGTCATGTGACTTTATTTCGAACCATGAGGACTAGCGCCTTGTTTCCTTTGCAAGGGAGGGTTTCAAGCTGGGGGTCGAAACCGGGGCCTGTGGGGTGTGCCAAAGGGGTCCTGGATTTGACGCTGACTCCCTGAAATGTGAGAGGCGAGGGAATAAACGGATGCCAAGCGCGGGACAGCCCAAATTTGAATTTTGCAGTTTTTGAGTGGCTCTTTGTGGGGAACGTTTGGTGTTTTTTTCCTACAGCCCTTGGGGTGTCCAAAGCGTGTCCCTGTGTCCTTGAGGAGATGGCACCGGGGGGGTCACCAGAGTGAGGCCGAGGCAGGGCAAGACACACACATACACACGGAGGGGGTCGGCCATCCTGAAAGGGCCAGATTAAATGCCTCTCCGGTGGGAGGTGGAAACAGCGAGTCAGCAAAACAGGAAAATGCTGGCTCGGGGGGGGCTCACCCCCCCGGACAGCGGCCACCCCACCCGGGGTGGACAGAAGGCGTCCCCTTGACCTCGGCTGCCGGTGTGTGTGGAAGAACGGACACCCGGCAGGAAAATAACAGGAAACCTCTTGGCCGCAGGCCTGGAGGAGGGCGAGCGAGCGAAAAAGGGGCCGAACCCCCGGCTCCAAACACCTGTGTAATCCATGCTTCCGCCCGGAGCGAGGCCTCGGGGCGCTACCTTTCCCTCAGCCACCTTCCTCTCCGCGTTTTAACCGAGTCCGAGGAAGAGAAAGGCGATCGGAGGCGTCTGCGAAGGGTCCTCAGAGGAAGCGGCAGTCTTGACTGCGGTTCGGATTATGTCCGAAGTAGAGCCCCTTTGCTTAAGACCCCCCAAATGGCCTCTGGGGTTTACAATCCCGGCCTCTTCTGTGGCCCAGGATTTGATCTGAGATAGACCATTCCTGACAGTGGAGGTTCCATCTTAACATCATCAGCACACACCCAGGGTCACATTAAGACACACCACGGCCTTAAGCGAGACCCAATTTATGACATTCCACACCACTGCCAAAAAAGAAGAAAAAGTGTTACATTAATTTGATGCATCCTGTCACTTAGATTTTGCTTTGGTTTTTGTGCATATTTATGTATTCGGGGTCTCGTCATACACTGATCCCCAAACTGGGGTTCGCTGGAGTACACACACACACACAATGGTAGGCCTATCCTCCTCTATGTGCTCGTTTAACCCCCTTTTAAAAACAAGTGGCTTCTCATGGAAATCTACAGATCATAGGCTACATTTTTTTTCAGCCAGTTAATTTTGTTGGGGGGCGGGAGGCACCACGAGCTCTTCCCCACCCTCCAGCATCAGAGGCCAAACATCATCTTTCCTGAGGTCAAAAAAAGGCTGGGGCCTTGCTATCCATCCTCGCAAGGACGTCGTTTTGATCCTCGGTGATAATTTCAGCTCCTTCACAATGGGACAGCCAGAAACGATGGTTGACGTCTAAAGTTTGGGTCGTGGTTTCGGGTTCTGATGGCCCATTTTGGGGGGAAATCTGGAGGCGAGGAGATCTCATACATTTTCGTCGTTGTTTAGTCGTGTCCAACTCTTCGTGACCCCATGGACCAGAGCACGCCAGGCCCTCCTGTCTTTCACTGCCTTCCGGAGTTTGGTCAAATTCATGTTGGTCACTTCGGTGACACTGTCCAACCATCTCATCCTCTGTCGTCTCCTTCTCCTCTTGCCTTCACACCTTCCCAACATCAGGGGCTTTTCCAGGGAGTCTTCTCTTCTCATGAGATGGCCAAAGGATTGGAGCCTCAGCTTCAGGATCTGTCCTTCCATTAGAATGGATAGGTTTGTTCTCCTTGCAGTCCAGGGGACTCTCAAGAGCCTCCTCCAGCACCACAATTCAAAAGCATCCATTCTTCGGCGGTCGGCCTTCTTTAGGGTCCAGCTCTCACTTCCATACATCACGAAAGCCCGTTTTGGGGGGAAATCTGGAGGCGAGGAGATGATGGGCTTTGCTCGGCTCTCTGAAACCTCTCTAGAAAGAGAGGGTTTTTCCGCTCGTCAGGGGATGGTGCAATTAAGAAGGAACAACGTGCCCAGATTTCCTCCTCTCAGTCCGGCCTTATTCTCCTCCGCTTATTGTTAAGACATGCCTGGGCAGAAGCTCTCCGTTACCGGCGTTGGGCCAGAAAGGGAGGCCGGGTACGGGTGGAGGAGCAGGAAGAGAAGAAGGGCCAGGTTGTAAGCGTGTTCTTCATGCTCGCGGGTGGTGGTGGTGGCTTCGTCCTACCTCCCAATTAGCCGCCCCTTGCAAAATAAACTTCTAAGTCATTTGTGACACCTCAAAAGGAAAGGGGGGGAAAAAACGGAGGGAAGAGACAGAAAATTCGGCCTGTTGCAGTTTACAAACCTGTTGGCTCGCCCTGCGTGGCTCTCGCCTCGCCACAGGTGGGTACCCACGGGCTTCCCGCCAAGCTGGCACGAACTCCTCCAGGCTAACGGCTTTTCCCAAACTCAGAGACGCTCCCTTTGTCTCTGTGAAAAACCGGGAGCTACCCCCCACCCCCGGTTGCTTTCTGACCGAAAAATGACTATTGCTCTTAGAGCATTTAAAATGACTTGGCTTTCAAGGATATTTTGATCTCAGGCTGGGTTGGGGACTCGTACAGCGACAGAACGGGGCAGCTTCCATTTCTGTTCTTGTCGGCGGCAGCTACGTCTCTTCTGTGCCACTCAGCATCTGCCACCTGAGGCCGCTTCCTCACTCTCCCTCATGGTAGGGCCGGCTCTCCATCAGAATCTTCTCCAGGCCACCTCTTCGCTCCACTCCGACTTCTCTATTTTGTTTTCTGGGGCCAGGTCTGGGGAGGGGGGGAGCAAGGGAGGTCCGGCTGCCTTCCTTCGTGAGAGGCCATGGGTGCGAACGCCAAGGAACGGGAAGAGAGGGCCTTTTGGCTTTGGCCTCTGAACCAAGGAACATCCAGGCCTCCGTTGTGCAACCTTCTGTCGGTGCTAATGGCTCCCGGAGGGGAGAATTTGGCGGCCGATGGGGTGTGCAGAGCTCAGCTTTCGTGGTTGGAGGAAAAGGTCCTTTTTTTTTCATTTGCTAATCCCGTGCCGAAGGAATTTAGGGGAAAGTGTACACAGAACTCCCCAGTGGGGAGGGATTCGAACGCACGGAAGGGGAAGAGAAAGAGCATGGCCAAAGACATTTCTGGGCACCCAGCCTCCGGCTTCTCCTTTCCTTCTTTTTCCGAAAACTCGAGCACCCAAAGGGTGTGGGGACCCTTTGCAGAGAACTCGCCCCCATTCCTCGCTGGTCCCAGAAGGGAAGCCGAAGATGGGACGGCGATGGAAGTGAACATGATGTTATGTTCAAAGGATGTACGCCTCGGCTTTCTTTCGAGGTTTAGAAAGACGTCACCTGGATCGGAAATCTGCGTCTACTTGGGTAGACGAGAGCCCTTCCTATTCCTTGTGAGGGCATCCGTCCTTGTTGAGTATGTGTGTGTTTGCTTTCTTTTGTCCCCTGGGAGATGTGTGTGTATGGGTGTGTGACACACTCCCTTTGGCACGCCGAGAGTGGAATTTCTCGGTATCGCTTGACTTTAGCCAGGGATTGCTCCTCAGCCTTTCCTTCTCCTCCATAATGGTGCCACTAGGGGACACATCCAGCCTTCCTCCCCGCTCGGACGGACGGATCTGCAACCACCTGCAACGGCCGGAAGGGCTCCTCGTTGCAAGCCACATCCTTCGCCATCTTGAAAAAAAAACTTTGCCCCAATGGTGACAATGACATAAAACCACCTTCTCTCTATGTCCCTTTGCTGCCTCGTGCAGCTAGGGGACTTTAAATGTATGCAGTGTGGTGTGATGGGTGGAGTGATGGGCTAGGACTCGGGAGATCTGGGTTCGAATCCCCTCACTCAGGTACGGCGTTCCCTGTTGTGCTTCAGGAACTCATAACCCCATAATTCATCCTGAGCCTTTCCAGAAGATCTAGGATGCTATTACCGGCTAGGAAAATAGCATGGTTTTGCCTTGGTTCCTGCACCTGGCATGCGATGGAAAGTCAGTCGTTGTACTGGTCCTGCTGAGTTCTGCCTGATACGTATTTTTCATTTGGTTCTTTTAAGTAATCTTTGGCATTGATTTTCTTGGAAACTTCCATAAACTCCTAGCTGGAGGGTGCTAGAAAAATGTTTGTAAAATCAAAACTAAAGCATCCGTTTAGGCTGTACTGGGGACCAGTGGCAGGTTTCACGGGGCCGTGGAAGTATGGTTTGCCCGTAAGGTAGCTCACCCACGCATAACGAGAACATAAACGCAAAAGGACTGCCGTTCCTTGGAAACGTGCTTATTTTGTTGCCCGGAGAGCAGAGGTTAGGTCGAGGGGTTCTGTCTCATCTTGTGGGGCGCCCCTTGCTCACAGCCACCCTTTCATCTGCCTTACAGTCGTCTACGTCTGTTGCGCCCACGACATCTTCCACGAACTCCTGCTCCACGCGCACCACGAGGGGCTCACCGCTGGCGAGTACGCCTTCTTCTTCATCGACCCCTTCGGGGCCAGCCTGCAGAGCTCTCACTTCCCGGACCGACAGCTGCCGTGGCGCCGCGGAGATGGACACGACGTCATTGCCCGGGAGGCTTACAAGGTAAAGCCCCCCCCCTGCCCCGGGTCTCCTTCCCCATGTATTTCATGACCGAGGCTGAGTGGAGTTGTAGCATCGTTGGGGATTCTGGGCTTAGGAGTCCTCGGACTTTTATCCCGAGGGACGATTGTCTCATGGGCCTGGCTTGTTGGTAGACTTGTTGGCAAGAAAGGCCTTGTTGACTTGGTTACAAACGGGTCATTAAAGGCCACAAGGTTTGCAAAAGACCCGCTCCTGGTGGAGAGAAAATCATTGAAGCTTGGTGTTTGTGTTTTTTGGTACCAATGAATGCAGCCGCCTATATTTTTTGACTCTCTTCACGACGCAAACCACTGTGTCACAGACGCCTTACACTTATTGTTGATTGTGTGCACCTTGAGGCAGAAACGTATCCCACTGCATTCAACGAAATAGCGAAACCATAAACGGCTGATGATCAAATCCTTCCGTGTGCTAAACGCCGTTGCACGGCAGAAATCCTGTGAGGGTGAAAAATGATACGCTGTTGCAGGTCAGCAGCCAGCTATAAAATAAGCCGCAAACGGCAATTCCCCCATGAGTATCCTGTTCAAAATAAAATATCCCATTCAAGATCAGGATTAAATTCGTTTAGCTCCAGCCCGAAATTTGTTGAAATCTTTGTGGAGGCGATTCCGAATATTTTAAGCTGAATTGTTTGCCTTTTTTTGTGTGGAGGGAGAGGAGCCTTTCTTTCGTCCGATGGTTCTTGTGCCTCCGGCTGCTTGACGGACAGGCAGAAATCCAACCGGGGAAGCTCTTTGTAGCTCGGAGGCCTTGGTGAAGGGCGAAAAAACTGGCCCGGCTGAATTTCTTCCGCCCGTGAAGCAGTTGAAAAGCGTGGGTCCTTGGCCAGGAAGAGAGAAGGGACCGGGGCAGCCACCTGAGGTTTTGGCCACTAAATGGTCTATTGTCAAGAGTCTGTGGGCCTCAAGTTTCTAGCCCTCATTGTTCCAGTGGCAGATTTCACAGGGCTGTTAAAAGCAGTTTGCCATGAGGTAGCTGATTGAGATTCGGCCTTGTCCCACAAACAATTCCCACAAATCCATTTAAAAGGAGATCTCCTTTGTATTCACATTGAGGAGCCCTGTTTCCTCTTTTCCTCTCTCCGCGCCCTGCCATTTTAACGGTGGCGTCTTGAATTCGGATCTCGCCTGGCGCCTCTTCGATTGCAAGGAGAGAAAGAGGCAAAGGGGAACATTGAGAACAGAGAGAGAGAGACAGAGCGGATCGCTGAAACTAGATTTCGCTTTGCCGTTTCCTTTCCTCTGCCTTCGGAAGGAAGCGAGAGAATTCCCTGTGATAAAACAACCAACCGGCTGGGTTGGAGCTATTAATAAACCCAGGGAGCTGAAAGGCAGAATGAATCGCAGGGAGGGGTAGGACGCTGACCATGAGGAGAACCGAGATTCAGTGCCTCAGGGTTGCAACACCGGCTGGCTCAGAAAAAAACGTGATAACTTCGTGGAGAAGATGAAACATTTATTTATTATTTATTTTATTTATTTAAACGTATACCCGTCCCGTCTCGTCGGCAAGCCACTGCTCTGGACGGCTTCCGAGAAGAGAGCATAAATAGACAACATAAATGGGTGTCGATCAAGAAGAGGGCATAAATAAATTGAATAAATAAATAGACAACATAAATGGGTGTCGATCCGTCCAGCTGATCCTCCAGGACGCAGGATGGCGAAGCCGATGTCAAGTCTAAAAGGTGTTAAACAATAGATAATACAAATCGGCACCCCATGAGGCGGAATGATAGTGATGTTCAATAAGGCCCGAGGCTGATGTTTTAAATCCCTCGTGCTAAAACATCTGCCCGTCGGGAAGGGCACCATGGTGTTCATCCAGGGGTGATGCTGGTTTTTGTCCTCTGTAGGCTGTGATGATCATCACGTACGCCGAGCCCTCGAACCCGGAATACCGTCCGTTCCTGGAGGAGGTCAAGCGGGAAGCCCAGGCATGGTTCAACTTCACCATGGAAGATGGGCTGGTAAGGACGGTGGGTCGGGACCTCTGTTTCTCCACCACCCGTTAGGAAGGAGCAGATATGCTGTCGGAGGGAGTTCCACCCGCACTGGGCTGCGGTGAGCGCCCCCCGTGAGCCACCATTTTGCCTGAGGCTCCGCCCCCAGCCACGATTTTTCCGGAGGCTCCGCCCTATCGGGGACCGCTTTGCCTGACCCTTTTAGGTGTTATAAATACAAGCAATTCTGAGATTCCCACCATGGATTGTACATTTTCGAAGTATTGCCAGTCATGGTGACTTTAATAATATCACCAAGGAATGTATGGACGTGCGAGTCCATTCTCTTTGCGGTCACCCTCTTCTTGGGGATTCGAATTCCCTGCTCCTGCCTCTGCATCCTGGCCCTCCAACCCACTGAGACAGGCCACCAGAGAAGGGAAAACATTGTTGCATATGTCCCTAAAAACGACCCATGAGTTATTCGCCTTTTCCATGGGGTTTAAGACCTGTGCAGAACTCCACGAGGCTTCAAGCGTACCCCTTTCCTGCCCGCCCTGTGGGGTCCCTGTCCTGCCCCAATCTTTGCTTTGCTTTGCAGAAAAACTATATTGCTGCGGCTTTCCACGATGGGGTCCGGCTTTACGCCCAAGCTGTGAACGAGACCTTAGAGCAGGGCGGCTCCGTCTCGAACGCCACGGCCATCACCCGCCAGATGCGCAACCGCACTTTCTACGGTCAGTGCCTGTCGGGGGACTCTTGGTCTTCCTTCTTTATACACAAGGGGAAAAAAGTAACTTGCCGATCCTTAGGCTGAAATAAAATTCTGGGTGAATTGTACGTATTGGGTCAGTAATAAGTTGTAAACAGGGCAAGCTGTGAGAAAGAAAACCACTTTTTAGAGTATATAGTCTGCAGTGAAAATCAACTTAGTCATATATGCTGTGTACTGAGAAGTCATGGTCTTTGTTTAAGCCACCAGCCGCAGAGTGGAATTTATGAATATATCCCAGTTCAGCCATCTCCCCCTCGAATCTCCTTCTGTATTCCCTTATTCCTCCTTATAATAGCTAGTTTGAGACCCGAGATACTGTATCCCGGGAGGCAGAACTGGTTTTTGTCTGTTGCCATTTCTCACGTCAGATTCTTCCCTTGCATAGAGATTGCTGATAATGGAGGATGGCATATATCACGTTAGAAGGAGGGAATAAATCCACTGGTTGCTGGTGATCCTGTTAGCCCTTTGTAGTGGTCATAATGGAGGATGGCATATATCACGTTAGAATGAGGGAATAAATCCACTGGTTGCTGGTGACTCAATTTTTCTGGACCGTGTGAATCCACTCTGGGTTTTAGTCCGCACTTTATAGTTTTCCAAAGTGCTGAACCGACTTGGAGAATGCAGTTCCATATACTGAAATACCTCTGGAAAGTGCTGAATAAAACCCGGGTTGGATTCACAGTGCCCCTGAAACTGGAATCATCAGTTTTTTCTAAGGCAAAAGAGGAAAATTTAATGAAAGGTGTAGGTCCCTCTGAATTGGGAAGATCTAAAAAGGTCATGTTTCCAGTGGTGGTGGCCATCTTGGACAGGTCATGCCGTCCTTGGGGATCCATGTGGATAACGCTGTGGTTGTTTCCGCCCTTCTTTGCTCCAGGGGTTACGGGCGTCTTGAAGATCGACCAGAACGGTGACCGAGAAACAGATTATTCCCTCTGGGACATGGACCCCGTTAAGGGGGAGTTTGAGGTTAGTGGGGCCGTGGGAAAATGAATACATTCACTTACTGGTCTACCTCGCAGGGTGGTTGCGAGGAAAAAGTAGGAATGGGGGAGAGAGCTTGCCTTTAGGTCGTGGGGAAAACGCTAGGAGAGAAGTTGGTGAATGGATTAAATAACTAAGGACATAACCTTCCCTGCGGGATCTGTGAGATAGTCTGCCCCTGGCCATGGAGGTTTCATTTGCAGAAAATCACCATGGATCAGCTTGTTGTGCCACAAACATGCCAAACTCCTAACTTTTTTCAGAGGTTTGGAAGCTAAGAGCAGTCGCAAGACCCGAAGTGGCAGGGAGTTCCATACACCAGTTAGTTCTTCTGCCAAGAAAATTCTCTTTTTTCCCCCTTAACTTTTCTCCCTCACAGATCGTGGCCAACTACAATGGAACCACCAGGAAAATTGAGATGGTCCCCGGGAAGGAGATCCAATGGCCGGGAAATGCCATTCCCCGAGACGTGCCCATCTGCGGCTTTGAGAACAGCAACCCGATTTGCCAGAAAGGTATTGGGTGGAGAGGGACGGAGTTCGAGTGCTGCCAACTGTGCATTTTAAATGCTATAATTGTCCCTTCCGAACTCAATGGCACAGTGACGTCTCTGCGGGCTTAAATCAGGGGTTGATTGTCTCTCTGGCCTGGGGGGTCTGAGGCTATAAAAGGGACAATGAGGTCACTGACCTTTCTCTTCATCATCATAAGCACCATCATCTTAGATGTGCAGAGCTAGAAGGGAGTCACTGAGTCCAGCCCCTGTCAAGAGAGGATTCGAACTCCGAACCTCTGAGCTATCCAGCAGTGGGTGGGTGATTGATCTTTTAACCTTCTCCAAGTCCTCCTAGTTCAAAATCCACACCTGTTAAAGGAGTGGGTGATTTTCCTGTTGGTCCGGACCGAAATCTCTCCACTTGAATGTTTTTTTCACCAAAAAGGATGAAAAATAGCCTCAACCTCTCTCTGAAAGCCGACGTTTTCTTCCGTAGATGTTGAAGACTTAGAGGAGCCTTGTATGGGTTGCTCGCATCCCTTTTTTTCAACATCCACGCCAGCTGTGTTGCGCTTGTCATGGGAGTGCCTGGTTTCTGAACCAAAAAGGACGCCAGGTCAATGCGTGGCCACCATGTCCAAATTGTGGACATTTAGAGCTGGGGGGGGGGAGGAGAGAAAGAGAGAACACTCCGCGTCTCGCTCTCCAGCTGGAGCCTAAAGTTTCCTTACGAAGCTGTGTCGACCTTGTCCCTACCCTGTTAGAAGTTAAAAAACCCCGATTATTCTGTAGCGGTTGCTAAGTTTGCAGCTGCTAGTCTGTCCTCCAGGAGAATCAAACCTCGTGCAATTGAAATACTTTGTTCTTTGCCGCTGGTGAGCTTTTCATGAGCTCCTGAGGAAGAAAGAGAAAGGAGCTGCTTAAATGGGGGACTCGTGGGCCTTATCCTTGACACCCCTATTCTTTTCTTCTTTTGCCCCAGCGTCTTTCTCCTTGCTGGAGATCCTTTCTCTTGTGATGACCCTGATCCTTTCCATTGTTATCATTGCCGCTTTCTTTGTCTACCGGTGAGTTTATAAGTGTCTTTGTGTGTGTGTGTGTGTGTGTGAGAGAGAGAGAGAGAACAGGCTACCGGAGGTGAAGAGGCAACCGGCGAGAGCGGGTCTATGGGCTGGTGGTGTTTTGTCTATGTCTTGTATATAGTAGGTAATCTTGAAATTGCAGAGCTGGAAAAGACGTTATAGATTATGGAGTCCAGCTCCTGTCAAGGAGGTAGGGAGGGGGATTCGAACTCCCGGCCTCTGGTTCTGCAGCCGGAGGCCTAAACCCCTGAGCTATCCAGCAGTTCAGTTATTCTAGGAACAGTCCCAGTAGAACCCACATTGACTTGGTGAGATGGGTGGGAATAGGGTGGAGTGTACTGTATATAGTGAGTGCTGCTCTGACCGTCTTTCATTACAACATACCGTATTTTTCGCACCATAAGACGCACCTTTCCATAAGGAAAATATAATCTGTTTTCTTCGCTCCATAAGACGCACAGACTTTCCACCCCCCTGTTTTGTGGTGCGAAAAATACGGTATATATTCAGATGCTTGTTTTGTGGCACCAGAGAGGGGCTTGGTCTACTTATGGGAGGCAGGCTGGGACTGCAGGAAACACCATTTATAAGGCCAGTAGACCAAGCCTCTGTATACCCAAGGGCTGGTCTACTGCCCCCACACCTTAATAGATCTACCAGCAATATGCCCCCAGTGGCAGTAGACCAGGCCTCCAAGAGGCATTGCACATGGATGTTGTCCCTGAATAGACCAACCCTCTGGAAATATCCTTACTGTACAGGGCTGGTAGACTGGACTTTCGAAGTCCTCCGGTTATGCACAGCTTATCGGCCTCATCACACCAGTAGACTGGGTCCCTGATACCTGGGGGCTTGGTCCACCATCAGCGTTCATAACTCACCACTGCTGGACAGCTACGGAGCCAGAGGTTGGGAGTTAGAACTTAACATTCTAAGAAGAACCGGCACACAAGGAAAGAGGGAGGAGGAGGGAGGAGGAAAAACGAAGAGTCCTAAAGTATGCATTCTTGTTACCGGCAGCTTGGATGAATCAAAAGGAAAGCGTGAGAGGGTTTGCAGGGAGGGGGCATGTGGACGCCGATTATGTGTTTATTCCCTCCTCACGTCCCCAGAAAAATGAAGCTGGAGAAGGAGCTGGCGGCGGAGTTGTGACGGATGAATCTAAAGGAAAGCATGAGAAGGTTTGCAGGGAGGGGGGCAAAAAGCACGTGGACGCCGATCATGTGTTTATTCCCTCCTTGCCTTCCCCAGGAAAATGAAACTGGAGAAGGAGCTGGCGGCGGAGTTGTGGCGCGTCCACTGGGAGGATGTCCAGTCGAGCAATTTGGAGAAAAATCTACGCAGCATGGGGAGCAAGATCACTCTCTCGCTGGTGAGGGCAAATTTTTGCTGGTCTTCCTTGGGACCCCAGATCTCTGGATCTGGCACAGAGTCGATCCGGGATCATGCAGAAGGAGAAAGATGTTGGTCTGCTTTAAGTCCTTTTATGGCAGAGGTGAGCTCCGGATCAGGATTTGCCTGGTAACCGTAGATGTTTACCTACTCCCTCTGGCTTTCTAGGAATCGTATGATTTTGTATTTATTTAACACCTTTTAAACTCTTTTTCTTACTCAGAAAGGCTCCTAGGAGAGCTTACAAGCCTTGGCAACGAGCTGGTCCGTTTCGCGAGGCTGATGAGCCAAAGGACGTAGCACGAAAGGAAAGAGGGAAGGGGAGGGATGAGGAAAAAGGCAGACGTAGCTCCTTGATTCTTGGCCGCAAAGTTCGGCAGAAAGTATATTTTGCAGGTTGTAGAGGTGGATTTAAGCGCAGGGGAAGGACCGATGGCCTTTTGATTCTCCCGGTGAGCGGGTGTTAAACAGGAGATGGCGCTTGTGTGAAATGTGGGGTTATGAATGGATTAGAATGACATTCCTTGGCCAGGCATCTCTCTCACTGCTTTTCTCCCAACCCACAGAGAGGTTCAAACTACGGCTCCCTACTCACCACAGAAGGACAGTTCCAGGTTTATGCTAAGACAGCCTATTACAAAGTAAGGCTCAGAAAAGGATTTTCACTTTTTACTGGCGGATGAGGGAGGGGGGGTCTCGGTCTCTAGGAGAGTCCAGCCGTACCCCAGTGTGTGGGTCAACCCTGTTTCCGCACGAAAAAAGCTCTCTGCGTGCATGTCTTAGTGGAAACAGTGCAGCTTCCCTTTTGTAGGGGAAAAGGCCTCGTAGCTTTTAATCATCCTCCCTTGCTCCTTGCCCCTGTTGGATAGCTTAATGGTTGAGGCTGGAGAGACAGAGGTTCGGAGTTCGAATCCCCCTCGCACTGGGCCTCCTTGACAGGAGATGATCCAGAAGGTCCCTTCCGGCTTGGCCGTTCTCTGGTTATTACTTATTATTATAGCTGAAGCAATATGGACTTGCTGGCTTCCCTCAGAATTGGGGCCTTGCCTTGGAGACAAAGAGGTGTGGGAATCCCTTCCGGGTTTCTGTCCGAACTGTAAAAGGAGCTCCCCACGGTGCTGGGGATCGGGCTCAGCCCGTGTAAAGACCGGAGTGGATTCACCGCCCCCGTGAGGTCGGAGCCAGTTTTGTACTTTGGCCGCGAGCGCGAGGGTGGATGAGACCCACGTGGAAGGCAGTGAAATAAGCATTCCTCTTTTCTCCTGATCCCCTTTCCCTTTGCTGTTCTTTCCTGTTTGGTGTCTCTCGTTCTCCAGGGCAACCTGGTGGCTATCAAACACGTGACCCGGAAGCGTGTCGACTTGACCCGGAAGGTGCTCTTCGAGCTGAAACACGTAGGTACCCTGCTAGGCTTTCATCGCAACCTTCAAAAACCAACCTTTGTTGACAAAGAATTGAAGAACTGGATAGGTCATGGCTTAAATCTTGTCTCCAGAGCCCAAGGCAGGGAGTTCGAATCCCCCCACCTTGAGAGGGGGCGGACTCCATGATCCGTAGCATCCCCTTCCAGTTCTAAGAGGGTGATGATGACTGAGGGGGGGGGAGGTTTTCCATGACACGTCATACTTTCTCTGCCACCTAGGCTTGAGTCCGCAAGCGAGTTCAAACATGTTTGTGAGTGATCTGGCCGGCCTCACCGGAATGCTCATGAACATGTTGTCCAAATACAGGCTGCAGAAAAAAATATGACATGTAGCCTCACCGGAATGCTCATAAACATGTTGTCCAAATCCAGGCTGCAGAAAAAAAATATGACATGTCATTGAAATCTTCCCCCTAGATGATGAAATGATGAAACTGGACGTTCCCAACCGGCCACAGTCCCTTGCTTAGATTGGAGAGATTTGCTGGTGAACCCAAATTACCTCTGCAGGAGTGGTGAAAGCATTTTTAAAAAAATTCTTAAGGATTTCTTTTAATTAATTATTTTTTAAATTAAAAACAAATCCTTTCTCCGGCAAGAGGAGGTTTTATGAAGGATGGGTCACAGGCTTGTAAGAAGTCATGGTTGGGAGAGGGCACCACCTTTTCTCTGCTAACACACCCCAATTCACGAAATGGGATGGAAAAAAACCCGGTCCTAATATGGGTTTCGGTCCGAACATTGTCCTCCTGTTCTTTCTGGTTCTTCCTGTCCTTTCCTCGGTGCTTTAATGGGGCACCAGCAGGGGGCGTTGCACCGCTGGGGTGTTTGCTGGGAAAAGTCTCATTAATGGGAAGGAAACGAGCCACGGAAGGGGGTCGGAGCGGTCTGGACCGGCTGTGCGGCGGGCGAGAGAGAGAGCTTAATGACTCATTAGCAGGGAAGCGGCAGGGAGATGACCATCTGCTCCCCTTTTAATTAACAGCCAGAGCGCTGTGTGTGCGTGCGCGTATGTGTATGTGTGCGTGCGGTTGTGTGGTCCTGTGTGTTTAAGAAGATAAACAAGGACCTGGATCGCCACCGGGGCCACCTGAACAAGCAAAGATAATCGTTGGAAAAGGGGCCAGATGCAGTTTGGTAGAGATCCAGGTTTTGAACTACAAAGCCCAGAATCCACCGCCATGTTAATGAGGGGATAATGTAATCTGTAGTGTGTTGCTCCTTGCAGAAGATTTGGATAGCTCAGTGGTTTTAGATCTCTGGCTGCGGAGAGGCTGGGGGTTCAAAGCCCCCCCTGCCCCTCCTTGAACAGGGGCTGGATTGGATGATATTTTAGGTCTCTGGCTGCGGAGAGGCTGGGAGTTCGAATCCCCCTGCCGTCCCTCCTTGAACAGGGGCTGGACTGGATGATCCGGAGGGGTCCCCTTCCAGCTCTGCCGTTCTCAGAGGATGATGATAATCTTTAACACACATGTAGCCGTGCCAAAGATCAGATCCAACTGGAAAGATCGTCTCCGCACCTCTTTTGGCACGCCAGAATCTGGAGGAAAGCTGAAAAAACCCCATAAAACCTTTGGAGAAATGGACCCTGGACCGGTTGCCAGGGAAGAGGAGGGAGAGGCAGCCGAGTGCCTCCAAGCGCAAAGGGGGGGCGCGGATCATCCATGAGCCAGGGCGTCTTAAGGGATGCTTGAAGGAGCCTCTTCGCTTTTCCAAGGGGGTCAGATTTGAAGGGATGGGAGCATCGGAGAGTAGACGGAAAGAACGCGGTGGCCTCGAGGTCTGGAAACCTTCGACACAGCGTTCCATAAAATCCTGGTTTCTCCGTCCTTCCCTAAAGGAGGACGTTTGTCATAGAGCCTCGGCTGTCTCGATCCAACAGGATTTCATGGCATTTAAGGCTTAAGAAGGGGATCTTTCCTTCCCTCTTCCTCCAGTCCTGCTCGCTCACCGGTGGGCATCTTTTAAAAAATGCAAGAGATGCTTTCAGATCGGAGGGGAAAAGCCGCGCATTGCCAGTGGCCGTGATGGCACGCGTCTGATTTCTCCCCCTGTTGGGACTGCCTGGGGTTCGAGGGTTGGCCCCCATCCTGGGGGCTTTCACTCCTGAGCGTTTGGGTTGGGTAAACTGAGGCACTCCGATTCCTACCCTAGCGTTGGAAGCTAAAGGCACGGTTAGGGTGTCAACATTTTTAATCATTCCGGTCGTTGTGGATGACAACAGCCGTTCGTTCCACGCCGCACTGGGAGGGGATGATGGGAGCTGCGAGCCGAAGCATTGAGAAGGCCAAAGGTCCTTCCTTTGGGCAGTAAAAATGAGCTGTAAAATTTCCTCTACGGAAAGAGGTTGTCCGCGTGGACAAGGGAATGTAAGGGGGTGTTGATCGGCTCTTCACAAATTTAAACCCACGTTATGCGATTTTTGCGTATCTGTCCACAGAGGGCCGATGACTCCCATTCTGCCCCGGTGGGGAGGAGTCGGTTGAGTCCGTTCTGGGTTTTTGCCTGAACTTTATCGGCGTGTTTCCGAAACCTGATGTGTGGGGGCTGGCGGAGCGGATTTCCAGACTGAAATCTCAAGGGGATCCTGGATCTCCTCTCCGGGACCGACCCTTCTTGTGCTTTGTTTTTTTTTCCGGCCAACACCGCCCCGCGGATCTGTTTTCCAGATGCGGGACGTTCAGAGCAAGCACCTGACCCGTTTCATTGGGGCCTGCATCGATCCCCCCAATATCTGCATCCTGACCGAATACTGCATCCGGGGGAGTCTCCAGGTATCTGTGGAGTTAGAGGGAGAAAGGGGTGGCAACGACCCTACATGGCCTGCCGAGATCAATGTATGCATATATGGATGCCACATCCCTGCACGTGTCTGTGCTCCACACATGTGGCAACCTCGGCGGAGGGCTTCCCCGCTGAGGATCTTAATCCAGAGACGTCTCCGGCAGCCGGGAGAATATTCTCGGGTGTGCATTTTTTATACGGGGCCTCCAAGCTGTGCAAACGCCAGCGGCGGGGGCGGGCGAGGGTTTTTAATTAAAAGGACAGCCAGCCACCGAGGCCCTGCTGTCTTCTCCGCCCGGAGAAAGAGGCGAGGTTCATTCCAAGACGGATGATTTATGGTGCAGGGGGATGAGCTGGGGAAAGGATCGGACACAGGGAGGGTTCGGGGTGGGATGTGTGTGTGTGTGGGAGCCGCAGAGGAGCGATTTCGACAGGCCAAGATTCCTGGCCGCCTCTGGCCCGATAAGCATTTCCTTTTCGGAAAGAGACGACGGGGGAGGCCGGAGAGGTTGCGACAGGAGGGAGGAATGAACGAAACAGGGTGGGAATGAAGAGCTGCACGGGGTGGAGGAAAAGGTATGCCAGACAGCGGTGGTGTAGTGGTTAGAGCAGGACTCTGCCGCTGGAGACTCTCCAGTCTCTCTTGCTGCAAATCTTGATTGGCATGAAAGCCAAGGGTTAGGAGACGGTGGGTGTTGTTGTCCAGCAACGTGTGGAAGGCCAAGAATCAGAAGCCTCATTTCCAAGCTCTACTTAAAAGCTTAGGGACGTAGGTTGAGACCCCTAGGGAAGACAGACTCTCTGAAGGCTTTGTGTGCGGAAGTTTCTTTGCTGTTCATGTTCGGCTGTTTTATTTGTAGGACATCTTAGAAAATGACAGCATTACGCTGGACTGGATGTTCCGCTATTCCCTCACCAACGACATTGTCAAGGTAAGTGGTCGGGAACCTTCCTTAAACAGGCCCTTGGCCCCTCGCTTGCAGGAAAAACAGTGGATGGTGGGAATTGTAGTCTGACCAGGGAAATCAGGAGGGCCGCCACGTTCCACTGCATAGACCCAGAGAGCACCCACCTTGCTTGCTTGGGTTGTTTCTCTTCTGCTTTTTTCTTGATTATCCGCCCTCTCTCTCTCCCCCCCTTCCAACACCAGGGGATGGCCTTCCTCCACAACAGCGCCATCATCTCCCACGGGAACCTCAAGTCCTCCAACTGTGTAGTGGACAGCCGCTTCGTCCTGAAGATCACGGACTACGGGCTGGAGAGCTTCCGCCAGGCACCCGAGTCGGATGATGCATACGCCTTATTCGCCAGTGAGATGGGCGCCAGAGGGGGGGGGTAGGGTGGTGTTGGTGGGAAGGCCGTAAGGAGGCAATTGCTTTTCCCCCCAAACGGACCCTGGTTCCTATTCAGCACCTCTCAAAAGTCTCGTTTTATACCCTCCATTATAAAAGCCAAACTGTACGTTATAGGCGACCCGTTATTAGAACTCAGACCACTGTGCAGGAGACACGATTGTGTCCGTCTCGTGGGTCTGAGGCATCAGATCTCCAAAGGGAGGCTAGGCTTAGGGTGTGACAGCCAATCAGAAAGCAAATTGGAGCTAATTGGCAAGCTACGGGAGGGGTGAAAAGCTTCTGCTGTGACAAGCACTGTCCTTCAGCCCTCGAGGACTTCCTTCCTCTGCCGTCAGGTTTTCTGTAACATATAATTTGACCCTAATGTTTCTGACCTGCTCCTCTTGTTTGTTTTCTTGGATACTGCCAACCTTCGCGCGCATTTCCCCTTTGTCCTCCCCCACCAGACTGCAAATACGTTCACGCTGCCTGACTCCGCTTTTCTGTTGGTTTTCTTGGATCCTGACAACCTTCGCGCACATTTTCCCTTTGTCCTCCCTCACCAGACTGCAAAATACATTCACGCTGCCTGACTCCGCTTTTCTGTTGAACTCTAGAGAAACTGTGGACGGCTCCCGAGCTCCTGCGTATGGAGATGGCGCCCTGCTCCGGCACCCAGAAAGGAGATGTCTACAGCTTCGGCATCATCCTCCAGGAGATCGCCCTGCGTAACAGCGTCTTTTACGTGGAAGGCATGGATCTGAGCCCCAAGGGTGAGCGTCTGGGTGTGGGATGGGTGGTAAACGTTGACAGATAGGCTGCTCTCAACACTGGAGGCTCTAATTTGGGGGGGGCAGTCCACAGCATCAAGGAAAGTGCCTGTAAAGTTTGAGCTAAAACTCGGAGTGGATTCTCTCTCTCTGTCTCCCTTCCAAAGTTACTTTTTTTCAACCTCTTTCTAACTTCCAGAAATTATCGACCGAGTCAAACGGAGCGAGCGGCCTCCTTTCCGCCCCTCGGCGAACCTGCCCCCCAGCCTGGAAGACGTGGTGCTCCTCATGCAGCGTTGCTGGGCCGAGGACCCCCAGGAGCGCCCCGACTTCCACCACATCAAAGGCATGCTGCAGAAGTTCAACAGGTGGGGCGCCGGGCCTTGAAGCCTGCCTGCCTGCTTCCTGCTGTTTGTGCACCTCTTAAAAATGAGTGGTTGGGACACAGTTCAACAGGTTTTTCTCACGGAAGGGGTGTAAGAGCCAGGACCTTAGCTGGAAATATGTGGGGAGGGGGCAGGGGATTCCACCTGTTGAATATGTGCCTTGGTTTCTTCAACCTGTTGAATGTCTGCCCGACAGGGAGAACAGCAGCAACCTCTTGGATACGTTGTTGTCCCGTATGGAGCAGTACGCCAACAACCTGGAGGAGTTAGTGGAGGAGCGCACGCAGGCCTACCTGGAGGAGAAGCACAAGGCGGAGGCTCTGCTCTACCAGATTCTGCCCCAGTAAGTCTGTCTCTCCTGTTCCAGTATGCAGGAGCTAGCCAATTAGTGATGCAGGCCGGCCGGCTCTGTCTCATGGCTAACGTAGGGGCCAACCAATGAGTGATGCAACGAGGGCTAGCCAATTAGTGATGCATGCAGGCCAGCTCTATCTCATGGCTAACATAAGGGCCAACCAACGAGTGATTCAACGAGGGCTAGCCAATTAGCGATGCAGGCCGGCTGGCTCTGTCTCATGGCTAACATAAGGGCCAACCAATGAGCGATGCAAAGAGGGCTAGCTAATTAGTGATGCAGGCCGGCCGGCTCTGTCTCATGGCTAACGTAGGGGCTAACCAATGAGTGATGCAACGAGGGCTAGCTAATTAGTGATGCAGGCCGGCTAGCTCTGTCTCGTGGCTAATGTAAGGGCCAACCAATGAGCGATGCAATGAGGGCTAGCCAATTAGCGATGCAGGCTGGCTGGCTCTGTCTCATGGCTAACGTAGGGGCTAACCAATGAGTGATGCAACGAGGGCTAGCTAATTAGTGATGCAGGCCGGCTAGCTCTGTCTCGTGGCTAATGTAAGGGCCAACCAATGAGCGATGCAATGAGGGCTAGCCAATTAGCGATGCAGGCTGGCTGGCTCTGTCTCATGGCTAACGTAGGGGCTAACCAATGAGTGATGCAACGAGGGCTAGCTAATTAGTGATGCAGGCCGGCTGGCTCTGTCTCATGGCTAACATAAGGGCCAACCAATGAGCGATGCAATGAGGGCTAGCCAATTAGCGATGCACATTGCTTGCTTAAGGCCAGTAAATCAATGGTTTGGTTTGTGCTCTGAAATGAATTAATAGGGGTTCCCGACCCACTCTTTTCCATGAACCTGGTTCTCAAAAGAAAGTCCTTTTTCAGCTTAGGAGAACGCCTTTTTTAGACTCTGGTCCTCCGAATCTCTGAGCTGACTTGGCTGCTGGCCATCTCCTCTACTAATACCGTAGTGGCGAAAGCTATATTTTATATATTCCTTTATATGATTTATATCTGGAAACTGGGACTCCAGGCTGCTCACAAGGAGATTAAAATCAGCTTCACCTAAAAATAGGGGAAATATATGAATATCTACCATATTGACACACAAAAAGGCTGCAGTTTTCAAACACGACTACATGAGAAGCGGTTTCGAAGCAGATTCAAAAGAGCAGCGCCCCTCTGATCAAAAATCAACTTCTCAGTTGCTAAAAGCCGGCGTTAAGGGCTTCTTGCCTGCTGGTGGAAAGATGATAAGGCCAGGCTTGCCTCGCATGGATGTGAACTCCACAATGTGGGAACGGCCACCGAGAAGGCCCTGTCCCATAGCAAAGCATCCAGTATAGGAGCAGTCTATCCTTGAGGAATTAGGTGGGAGATGAGCCACTCTGCTCCTGCCCAGCTGGTGGGTTCTCCAGAAGCCTTCTATCGTTGGTCTCTGGGCGCTCCTCATTGGGGATTTGTAGTCCAGAAAGGTCTCTCTTTGAAGTTGGACTGATTGCCGCTTCTCCCCGTCCAGCTCCGTGGCCGAGCAGCTGAAGCGCGGCGAGACGGTGCAGGCAGAAGCCTTTGACAGCGTCACCATCTACTTCAGCGACATTGTGGGTTTCACGGCCCTGTCGGCAGAGAGCACCCCCATGCAGGTAGAACCAGGAGTGGGATGATGCCCCTAGGACAGTGATGGCAAACCTGTGACATGCATGCCACAGCTGGCACACGAAGCCCTTTCTTCTGGCACACAACAAACCTTTTGAAGTGGCTGCAACTGGGATTCCCCCTTTCTCTTCCTGTTCTGGGTCCTTTCACTTCCTGTCCGTCCCCATGATTCCCCCTGAAACTGCCACTTCCAGTTCCGGTTCTGGTCTTCCGGGCGGCACGGCAGCCACCGGTTTCTTCCCCACCCCCCTCATTTTTGGCACTCAAGCCGAAAAATGTTTGCCTCCACTGCCCTAGGAGGTTGAACCGGGAGGCACTGGTGCGAGATGTTCTCCTCCAGGCAAGGAGTGCAGGGTCTCAAACTCAGAACCTCTAGGTTTGAACTATGTTGCTTGTAAAGATGTGCTTCTGGAGTCTAGTTGTACTATACACATTGTGTGATCTCATGCGCTTCCTTTTAATTATGCGCACAAATCGCGGAATTCAGAACCATTCTGTTGCGGAATCTTGGTGGCCTTATGTATGCCGTAGATTCAGCCCCGTAGACTACTGGGTTTTTGTATCTCCTGTGCAGGTGGTGGCTCTCTTGAATGACCTGTACACTTGTTTTGACGCCATCATTGACAACTTTGATGTCTACAAGGTGAGAGGGCCCTGCCCTGGTTGGATGGTTGAAGGGGAAAAGAATGAGCAAGATAGGCTAATAGGCTGGGTTGTGGGGTGAAGAGGCAAAAGACTGGCCCATGAGAGTGTGGCAGATCTTTGAATTTCTGGTAAAATTCCTTTTTTCTACAAAGTAGAAATACAGAGAATCACAGAGGAGAATAGCTATAAGTTCCCCAGAGTCCACCCCTTTTCTCACTCACTGCCATTTAGAGTTTCACTCTGAGACATGTGTAGGTGAAAGAATTGAAAAACATTTATTTACTTTCAGTAGAATAAAAATACAGACTTTGTGCGTACTGCTTTGTTTACTGCACAACATCACCATCCAAGCAGGTCAACAGCAAACAAACAGCTGTCATCGACTAAGGAGTGAATTTCTGGTAAAATTCCTTTTTTCTACAAAGTAGAAATACAGAGAATCACAGAGGAGAATAGCTATAAGTTCCCCAGAGTCCACCCCTTTTCTCACTCACTGCCATTTAGAGTTTCACTCTGAGACATTTGTAGGTGAAAGAATTGAAAAACATTTATTTACTTACAGTAGAATAAAAATACAGACTTTGTGCGTACTGCTTTGTTTACTGCACAACATCACCATCCAAGCAGGTCAACAGCAAACAAACAGCTGTCATCGACTAAGGAAAGGGAGGGGGGAGCACTCAGAAGAGAGGCGAGACTCTCTTTGAATTCAAAATCTGGAAAGAATAATTGGTTAGTGCTTGATAGATAAATCACCCTAGCACAGAAAAGTCCCTCCCATTCAAACCACAGACGGCATGGAGGATTGCAAATAAAACTCCAACAGATGGAAGGGACTTCAGCCTCTCCGAGCCATGCCTCCCTCCCTCTTGCTCCCACACAGGTGGAGACCATTGGTGATGCGTACATGGTTGTATCTGGCTTGCCTGTGCGCAACGGGCGGCTGCATGCCCGCGAGGTGTCCCGCATGTCGCTGGCACTTCTCGAAGCCGTCCGCAACTTCAAGATCCGTCACCGGCCGGACCAGCAGCTCAAACTGCGGATTGGGATCCACAGTGGTGAGAAAGCAGGGCTGATGTGGAGATGCATGGGGGGAAGAAGGACCTCTCAGAGCCGTGCTGGAGGTGAAAGAGCATCTTAGTTTGTCCAGCCTTGAGTTGGTTGCAGAGCTGAGCACAAGCCGTGATCAGACCGGGATCCACAGTGGTGAGAAAGCGGGGCTGATGTGGAGATGCGTGGGGGGGAAGAAGGACCTCTTAGAGCCATGCTGGAGGTGAAAGAGCAGCTTAGTTTGTCCAGCCTTGAGTTGGTTGCAGAGCTGAGCACAAGCCGTGATCAGACAAACTATGGTTTGAAAGGAATGTTGGTTCGACATTTGGTATGATTCAGATGTAACTGCAAACCATGGTTTATTGCGTCTTGCCCAAACACATGCTGTAGATTTGACAAACCATGGTTTGAGAGCCATGTTTGTTCAACAATGAGACAGTTTGGCCCAATCATAGTTTGTTGTGATGTTCAAACCGACATCATGGTTTGACAGACGATGGTCTGAAGAAACTGCCAAACATGCTGGTAAAGCCAGAGTTTGGAGCTAGTTTGCAAACCATGGTTTGGGGAGATTATGCCCCCTAATCTGGTTTCTGTCTTACCACATGTACTGCCCTCAAGGTCCTGTCTGCGCAGGCGTCGTGGGCCTAAAGATGCCCCGTTACTGCCTTTTTGGGGACACGGTCAACACAGCTTCACGCATGGAGTCCAACGGTGAAGGTAAGCTGCCCATTTTGGGGGGGGGTGCATGAAGGCTGTGAAAATGGGTGTGTTGTCAAGGACAGAAGTCGGGGTGTTTCCCACAAATTGAGCAATTAAGGGGTTAGATGGGCACAAGAGTAGAACAACCGATGAAGGGTGGTGGTGGATGATCCCAGACTCTTTAGGAAACCCTTTAAAGAAAGCTGGGGTGGTCCCAGCTTGTTAACTGAGCAAGAAGTGTCACTGATTTCAGATTCAAGAACACTCCCACAGTGACCATGCAGAGATGGTTATAATCTTTATATTAAAGTAAGTCTATTGGCATCCCGTCTACTCTTGGTGATTTGTTTCTTCCAAGTGCTCTGAAAGCAGCTTTCACTTCACTTTCTAAAACTGAAATTTCTCCATCACATGATTCTTCTCCAAGGAAATCTGGCATCCTTCCATCTCTTTTGTGTAATTCTTCTGCACATTGTTTCCATCTTCTCTTTATTATTGTCTGGTTAGCAACACCTACTCATGGCCCATGCAGGCTTGATTACAATCTACTACATCCGTTTCAAGTCTTCTCATTGTTTGCTTAAATTCTGTACCTTTCAGCTCTGAAGATCCACCTCTCGGCAGCCACCAAATCTATCCTGGAAGAGTTTGGGTGCTTTGAGTTGGAACTCCGAGGGGATGTGGAGATGAAGGTAAGCGTGAAGCTTGTAACACACACATACGCAAAACCTTCTGGGAACATTTTCCTCCTTATTTCCAAACTAGACTTCCAGGGCATTTTATGGAACCATGCTTCCTATACCAGTCCATGGGCCTCTTCTGAAACCCTGCCTCCCTCATGAATCCCAGTGCAGGACCTTCTAAAAGGAGGCACCTATTTTGTAGGGTTTCATTCCCAGGGAAACTATCCTGTGTCGGGGTCCGGCTATGCCTTCAATTTTGGAGATTCGCCTTTAGATCTGTCTCCTTTCTTTGCTCATCTTTGTAACCTTGTGGGGGGCGAACACAGAACATCCCCTCAAGGGTCAAGAGAGAGGGGCAGAGTGGTGTGTGGGTAGCAGGGAAAACGGGCCCCAATTTGGGGCGAATCTCCATCTTTTATCAGCATCTCGGTCTGCTTTCTGGTCCTTTAGACTCTGCTTCTTCTAAGCACCCAACGGTAGGGCCGGCCGAATAGAAAACTCTATATTTCTATTCTCTCTCTCTCTCTTTTTTGTCAGTAATGGTGGGAGGTGGCTCGTGTTGCAATCTTTTTGGTGATTCTACCCGAGGCTGGACACGGCCCTTCACCTTTTCTTCCCCACAGGGCAAGGGGAAACTCCGGACCTACTGGTTATTAGGCGAACGCGTGAGCAGCACCCGAGGTTGAGGAACTGATGGTTCTCCTTCTGGATACTGGTGGGAGAGTCTGTGTCTTCTTGCTCCCCAGGAAGCTGAGGGGTATCTTCTCAACCACATCGCCAAAGACTCTTCCACCCGGGAACTGTTGGCTGGGGGCGGGAGTCAGGGAGAATCTGGACCGAATTTGCAGGATCCTCTCTCCTCAGCCAAAACCCATCATGGTCCTTATGCCCCACAGCTTGGCCTCCATCGTATACGGACCCTCAAAGACTGGACAGGGCATCAGTGACCTGGGCGGTCAAACAGAACTCTGACTGATTTCTTCCCCTTTGGCATTTTTCTCTGGCTCTCCAGGAACCGAGAGGTTCACCACGAGAGGTCCGCCAGAGCTTCATCCTGGGTTGAGGCGTGGAGCATTTTTTTGTGGCCTCTCTTGACCCACAGAGGCTGGGGGTGGGTCCACAAAATGGCGCTCAGGATCCCACCCAGCTCTGGAGGGAAGAAATACAGAAGTGGGTCTCTTAAGATCACCCTCCTGCGCCCGCCGTTTTTTGACAGCTCTTGGTTTTGTAATAAAACGAACGAATGGACGCGGCTTTGGAAGCGCTTGCTCGCCATCGTCTTCATTTCTGTATAGACTGGTTGTGATGACCGTCGCCCTTGAGGAAGTGACACTCTGTACATGCTCTAAGTCGCTTGCCGCTGCTACCTCACTCCCTACGCAGTTGGAAAAAAAATACAATTCCACGTTGACCTGTGGCTGAAAGGATGTGTGAATATGTGTGTATGCACCCATGTTGGGTAGGAGTTTAAACCCTCGTTCCGCAATCCGGCATCCTTTGGGAGGGTTTGGACTACAATGACCCTCCTCCCCCAGATGCCATGCTCTTTGGGCCGGCCGGGCAGGGAAAATGGGTGTTGTTCTCCCAAACAGATCAAGAGAGGGAATGACTGTGTTCTGTTTTCCTCCGACCTTGCTTGGAGAGCGGTGTTTGGTTCTGGATTCCCACAGTTTAAGAATCGAGAAGCTGGGATTTGTGCCAATGAGAAGGTACCGTTGAGCTGTGTGTCATCCCGGATAAAAATAAATAAATTGTTCTCCTGTTTTAAAATCACAATTAAATGAGTTGTCCTCCCGTACCACCGTGATGGGCAAAGATGGTATTAGGGTTTCTCGTTAAAATAAAAAATTCACCCCGTAATAAATAAAAGTATCTTTATGATCATGGCGATGCACAAACAGCACTTAAGATCGGAAGGCGGTACAAAGGGAAATGTTTTGGTTTTTTAAAAAAAAAACCCAACAACCCAAGTCGAACCGAATCGACCTGATTCAGGCTGATTTGTAGGGTCGCCTGAGTCCATGTAGAATAGCCCAGGGTGAATTCTAAAGCAAAATGGATTTGCAAATTGATTTGACCCAAGACGTTCGGCCCTGCTGCTCCTGTTGTTTTTCTTTTTAAAGCAAATTTTCAGGGGCTTAGTCTGCCCCGCTGAAATCTTATTTGGAGCGTATTAGCTCTCTGAATAGCACGCGCATCGGTGTGGAAACCAGCCGGTTACGTCTGTGTAAGAAATAAGACCAGAAGGAGAAGCTTCCTGCCGGTATGCTGGCTTTTCCCACCCCAGATATAGGATGATTTCCCAGATCCCCCCCCCCATCCCTATGTCACTGAAACCCAGAAAAGGGGTAAGGGCCACTATCCGAAATCATACACCCTAGCTGCCACGCCTGTGAAGTGTCCCACAGGTAGAGGCGGAGGTGGCTGGAGATAAAACAGGATAGAAAGGGAGAAAAAGGGGTGGATGAGCGTGAGAAGAAGTGGAAGCGGGCTTTGAGGATGATAGAAAAGTTGAGGAGAGCGAGTTTTCTGGAAGGATGGGAATGGATTTGGAAGCAAGCACCGGATGCCCAAGATTGCGGAAACCTTTATGGTAGCCCTCGGAAGAGAGTCGCGGAATAATTGAGTTGGAAGGGGTGCTGCCATCTATCTCCTGCTCCAGGGGAGGAAAGAGGAGGGCGGCATCATCCTTCCATCACGCCTTTCTGTTGGGGAAAGAGAGGGAGCCTAAGGAGGAAGGAAAGAGAGCGGGGGAAGCAGGAAGAAAGAGTGAGAAAGATGCGCCAAGGATGGAGGTCGGTGGTCAGAGGTGGACCTCCTTGCCCACGACGTGGCCAACAGCCGTCGGCCCCGGGGACAGGAGGACCCGTGAACTATGGGGAATCGGGCCCCACGGCCAGGTCGCAGGTGCTCTGGATGCTGAACCCAGAACCTGGAGAGAGAAGCAGATGGACATGGAGGATGGTAGAACCTCATTGGCGAGTCAACCTGTTGGCAATCCACTACATCTGTGGTCCCCAACCTTGGGTCTCCAGATGTTCTTGGACTACAACTCCCAGAAGCCTTCACCACCACCACCTCTGCTGGCCAGGATTTATGGGAGTTGAAGTCCAAGATCATCTGGAAGCCCAAGGTTGGGGACCCCTGCACTACATTATTCCCGTTGGGAGCAGGGGGAGGGTTTGGACCTGATGCCGTTCATCATCATCATCATCATTGACATTGGGGGCTGGAAGAAGCCCCCAATAGGCTTGTGTAGTGAATCCCAAACCCAGGCGTAGTCTTGTTTGAAACCTCGGGGTTCAGTGGGGGAAGGCAGAAGGCAAAGTGGGGTTCGGTGGCCAAGCAGCTCAGAAAGGGGGGGTGTTCTGGCTCCACATAGTTTCACCCACCACGAGAGTGAAATGACTTCTCCCCCTTTAACTTTAGCCTGAAAGAAGAGCATGTTCATGGCAAGTTACTCCGAGGTGCAAAGACTATGAGGTGTGTTCTATTTTTTGGGATGGCGATCGCATCCCTCCGCTCATCATGGGCGCAGAGGTACCACGGCCGAGGGTCTGTTTTTCGGTCTCCCGGCTCCGCGTGGCGGACTTCAGGGCTCTGTGACTAAAACGGAGACCTGATGTTCACCAGGCTACGTAAGCAAGACGGAGCGAAAGATGGACTTCATTTCCTAATTTGGCTTTAAATAGATCCGGGGAGGGAAAAAACTGTTCTGATTTCACATCGTTCCCTCGTCATCTCTGCTTTTGCACGGAATGTACAAGCCAATCTTATCTTTCCCAAAAGGTAGTTTTTTCTACGTCAGCGGTTGATTGGTACAAGACGGCGTCCGAACCGGGGTGGCGAGAATTATGTTTTCTTCCTTTTTAATCTGCCTGCCGGCTTCTTCCCGAAGGCCGGATGCACCTGCTTAAGCTGTGAGGGAGGGTAATTAAGAGAACGGTCTTTTCATTTCCTCCTGGGCCATTCACAATGGTATTACTTAGCTTCCCACATTGAATGATGCTTCCTTGTAACTTATTTATTTATTTACTTCTCCACAAAGAAAGGAAACAGAGAAGTGAAAATAAATAAAGAAATAAATAAGGACTCATAACCAAGGGGTCTCCCTCTGAAGTATGACTCACGAGGGGGCCTGCAGACTCCACTAACAAAAATGTGGAGATGCAATCTACGAAGAGGTGGCGGTGAGTTTTCATGCTTAGGTTTTGCTTTCGAAAAGAGAAGGAGCATCATCTTTCTTCAGAGCCTCGTGCCCAACTGGTCCGTCCTCCACAGAAGCAGTTCCTTTCAAGGGTTTTTTTTTTAAATAAAAGAATTATTGATGATTTATGAAACTGTTATTCATTTGATCTGGAGAAGGCGAAAGCGTCGCTCACGTCTGTTTGGAGGTGGGCATCAAAATCTCCCCGGAAGACGAAAACACAAGGAAATTTGAAGGAAAAGACAAGATTGCGAAAGAGGGGTGGAGGGGAAGAATCTTTTTAAAAAAATCCAACCAACCAACCTTCAGAGCCTAACACTGGGTTAGGAATGTCGGCTTTAAAAAAATTGATATATTTTGCAATTTTGGCTGCCTTTTTTATGATTTCAGATCCGACATTTACAAGATATAAAAACGGGGGACTAGCAGAAGGTTGAAGAGAAACAGAAGGGAGAAATTTGGCAATGAGACCCAGTTACCTCCACTGAGTTCCATAAACCTTATGGAAAAAAAGGATTCCAGCCACTCTGCTAAAAATGTTCAGCTAGGGGTGTAGCCTCAGACATCAGTTTGGGGTGATGCTGTTTCAAAATATCGGCCACCAACCTATTAGCATCTACATAAAGTTTGCATAAATTTTCCAGGCACACTCCAAAGTGCTGGTTCTTCCTTATAAAGCCCTAAACAGCTTGTTTTTTAGCCTATAAATCCCTAAAGGGCTTGTTAAAGCCCTAAACAGCGTGTTTTTAGCTTAGAAATCCCTAAAGGGCTTGGATTCTTGACCACATCTCCCTTTATAAACCAGCTTGGGTGTTAAGATCATCAAGGGAGGCCTTTCTCTTGGTCCCATCACCTTCGCAGATACATTTGGGACATGGGAGAGGGCCTTCTCGGTGGCTTTTGGGACACGGGAGAGGGCCTTCTCGGTGGCTGCTCTCAGACGTTGGAACTCCCTGCCACTGGAAATCAGTCTGGCCCCATCTTTGGTCTCCTTCCACAAGCAGGCCAAGATCTTGCTCTTCAGGCACATTTTCCCTCAGTGGCTAGCCACCTGAGTGAGGTTTTTGAATGGTTTGTTATGCTTAATTGCTTTGAATGTGTTTTTGGAGTTGCTTTTATTAATTGCTTTGAATGTCTTTTTGGAGTTGCTTTTTTTGCTTACAACCTTTTGGTAGGGTAATCATCTGCTCCCTTCCAATACAGTATTTATATACCTGTTTTTTTTTTTTTTTTTTGGGGTAATTGTTTGCTCCTTTCCAGTATTTATATACCTGTTTTTTTGTTTTTTGTTTTGCTTCTCAATACTGTATTTTCATGATGTCAGCCGCAATGGCCCCTTCTTAAGGGGAAAGACGGAATGAAAATATTTTTAAATACGCTTGCTAATTAAGGAGGTACTAGGTTAAATCTGTTGCGCACCTGTGCCCTATGGCACAATCGTGATGGAACGAGGCACTTTGCCCATTAGCGGCAGCTAGTTTTGCAGAATTTACAGGAACCCCTTGAAGATGCGAGCCATTATTTGTCTGTGGATTTCGCTGGATATTTGGACGGTGTACCTGCACGCAGCATGCACTTCTCTGGTTCAAGCCTATTAAGTGCATTTCTCACATTCTGCTTAAGCCCAACCCTGTTCTCTGCACCGTGGTATAATTATTATTATTATTATTAATAATAATGATTCATAATTGGATGTTTCTGTTTTGCAGACGGTACAGATGCTGGGCAATAGGAGCTGTGCATCTGCCTTTTGCTGCATCCTGCAGGCTGTCTTCTTTTTAGTTACACGTGTGAAAGCTCAGTCGCGTCTCTGGGTCATGAACCCCAATGCACAACCCAAAGGAGCCCAAGCAATAAGGAACTACCCTTTGAGGGGCCTGAACAAACCCCCAAAGAGGGGAAGGCGTAGGGCGCATGCGCAGAGCGCGCTGCGGGCCGGGCCACCCTCGCTCCGGAGACAAGCAAGAAAAGCACAGCAGGCGGGGGAGTCTTCGCCATAGACTGCCAAAAAATTATAGACTGATACTTATGGCGCTACTTCGGGGTACCTTTCAAGCAATTTTTTGGGAGGTATGTTCCAACTTTGGGGCTGGATATTTTTAAGAGGCAAGGACTAAAAGTTGGAAAAGTTACTTTTTAAAGGAGAAGGTAACTTCGACCATAACAAGCTTGAAGGGGAGGAGGTGGTGATGAGGGAAATCTGGATGTGTGCAAATAGTTATCCCAACAAAGGGTAAATTCTGTAGGTTACTTTTTTTTCCCCTTTTACTTTCGTTTCCCCACCCCTTTTATTTCTAAAACTTCAAGCCCAACCCTACACGCTGAAGTGGAGAAACGTTGCTTAGGGTGGTAATGAATGGGATCGCATTCCTGTCTGTGTAGGTTGAAGCATCATAGTTTTTTAGTGACGATGATGTTGATGATTGCATTTATGGAAGAACAGTACTACAGTATTTTGCATTTGTATGATTAGGACAATCAGAATGTTTAATGTTTACTTTTGTGTATGTGATTATATTTATAACTAACTAGTTAGCAATAGATATAAATATAGACGTAGATATATGGGTATATACTTAAGCTACTGTTTAAGGTTAAATAACAAAAAAATGAAAATGGATTTATTTAAATGAATTAATAATAA